TACAAGATACTGCAAAACCTCAACAACAAAAAGACAAATAACCCAATTAAAAAATGGGCAAAGGATATGAACAGGCACTTCACCAAAGAAGATATTCAGGTGGCAAACAGACACATGAAGAAATGCTCAGTATCATTAGCCATTAGAGAAATGCAGATCAAAACTACAATGAAATATCATCTTACCCCAACAAAGGCTAACATTAATCCGAAATACACAAAATAATAAATGCTGGAGAGGTTGTGGAAAGACTGTAACACTTATACACTGTTGGTAGGAATGTAAAATGGTACAAACACTTTGGAAATTAATTTGGCGCTTCCTTAAAAAGCTAGAAATAGAAGTACCATACGATCCAGCTATCCCACTCGTTGGAATATATCCTAGAGAAATAAGAGCCAACACACGAATAGATATATGCACACCCATGTTCATTGCAGCACTGTTCACAGTAGCAAAAAGATGGAAACAACCTAGGTGCCCATCAGTGGACAAATGGATAAACAAACTATGGTACATCCACACAATGGAATACTATGCAATGATAAAGAACAACGATGCAGGTGGAAGTCATTATGCTGAGTGAATTTAGTCAGTCACAGAAGGACAAATACTGTATAAGACCACTATTATAAGAACTCAAGAAAAGGTTTAAACACAGAAGAAAACACTCTTTGATGGTTATGAGGGTGGGGAAGGAGGGTGAGGGTTATTTACTAACTAGATAGTAGGTAAGAATTACCTTAGGTGAAAGGAAGGACAGCACACACTAGAGGGGAAGTCAGCACAACTGGTCTAAACCGAAGCTAAGAAGTTTCCTGAATACAATCAAACACTTTGAGGGACAGAGTAGCAGGCGTAGGGGTCTGGGGACCATGCTTTCAGGGGACATCTAGGTCAGCTGGTATAACAAAGCTTATTAAGAAAATGTTCTGCATCCTGCTTTGTTGAGTGGCGTCTGGGGTCTTAAAAGCTTGCAAGCGGCCATCTAAGATGCATCAATTTGTCCCAACCACATGGAGTAAAGGAGAATGAAGAACACCAAAGACCCAAGGAAAGTATCAGCCTAAGATACAGAAAGGGCCACATAAACCAGAGACTTCATCAGCCTGAGACCAGAAGAACTAGATGGTGCCCAGCTACCACCAATGACCACCCTGACA